CCCGCACGTGACCTCGGTGGCGCCCCCACCCCGTACTCTGACCTCAGCTCCCACCCCCTCACACTCTGACCTCCACCCCACCCCCTAGTTGTCAATGGGTCGGTGAGGGGGCGTGCGGGGGGAATCGACCTCTGCCCGTCACCGGCAGCCGGAGCGCCCTCCGTCGCCGTTGCCACCTCGGGTGACCACCTCCCCCACTGCCCAGCGCCAGGACGGGTGCCCTTTGACCTCTAGAGGTAACCGGGCCTAGTCTGGTCAAGAGCCCTCGATGTGCCAGCACCAGCCTGGCAAGGGGAGCTATGCGCCTACCCCTACCCCCCCACTTTGCCACCCTTCACAGGAGCACCCCGCAGAAACCAAAGGAGGGCGGGGGTTTGCTAGGGGAGGGGAAGGGGTGGGGGAGGGGACGGAGGGCCGCGCAATCCAGACCTTGGCGAAGACCCAACCACCTCAACAGCTGCCCCTCGCTCTTCCTGTTCAGGTTGACGACCGTTTTTTCTGGAACAAGTACATGATTCGAGACCTGCTGAAGGAGAAGGTGGGATTGGTTTTCGGATTGGGTCGGGTTTCATTTTGTTGTCGTCGTCGTCGTTGTCACATGTGCCCCGAGGTACAGTGAAAAGTATGGTTTTCCTGGACGTATCAGACCCGAGCGGGAACAGAAAGCGGGATATTGCGGCACAGTGACACACAGAAGGTGCGGGGAATGGTCACCTCTGAGGTGCGAGAGGGGCCCGTTTGTAAATGTGGCCTGTTCATCTGTTCTCTGGGGTCCTGTCCCCGTTTTTCCCCCTCTGTCCCCTGACGGCCAGAGAAACGTTCTCAGCCGAGCCCATTGCTGAGTGTGAACCTTCCCGGAGTTGGAGCGAGGAGCTGGAACATTTCTGGGACTCCCCTTCGGCCTTGAACCAGGCTGAGCCCAGCCAGTGGCTACTGAGGCCCCCTTGTGCCTCTCATGCTCTGCCTCACCCACATCGAAGGGGGCACAACCCAACCCCGCCACCCCGCTCCTGTCGTTCCCAAAACCGTGGGTGACTTTGGTTTTCCAGGAGGCTGCTCTCGGATGTTCCTGCGTCCGACTACCCCTCAGCCCAGGCCATTCCTCTGTCACGTTCCCGGGAAATAACACACAGGGTATTGGCAGGGTTCAGGTGAACTGTCTCTGAGACTGACTTGAAGAGCTTGGATAGTCTGTACCAGCGACACATTAATGCCCCTGTCGATGTGGATATGATTTGTGGTGGGGTTGGGGGGTGTGAACAGGGGTATTTAGTCCTGAAGAGTGGTCTTAAGGCAGACGCACCCAGCAGGCTACCAGAGTTTGAGAGGCCTTAGGGTGTGTTGGAACAACAAACGTAACCCTCCACCCTCAATCCCCCCTTCCCCCCTCAATCCCCCCTCCCCCCCTCAATCCCCCCTCTCCCTCCTCAATGCCCCCTTTCCCTCAATTCCCCCACCCCTTCAATTCCGCCCTCCCCCTCAATCCTCCCTCGCCCCCCTTCAATCCTGCGCACCCAATTCGCCCTCCCCTGGCTCTCTGACTGATGCCGGAGTTTCCCTTACAGAATGCCTTGGCCAAGCAGTGGATCATTCCGATTATCCAGGGTTTTGTGCAGATGGAGGAGATGCAGCTGTGTGTGCCCGAGCTCGATGAGGATGACAGTTCCTCCAATCTCTCCCTGGATGTGGAGCTCCTATCCGACCCGGAGCCCAGGTTCCTGCTGCTCCTCATCTCCCGCCGGAGCAGGTACCGTGGCGGTAAGTCTGGAATTCCCGAAACCGGGACAGGGAACAGGGGCTCCAGCTGGTATTCCTGAAACCAGGACGGGGGCAGGGGCTCCGGCTGGTATTCCCGAAACCGGGACGGGGCAGGGGCTCCGGCTGGTATTCCCGAAACCGGGACGGGGGCAGGGGCGCCGGCTGGTATTCCCGAAACCGGGACAAGGGATAGGGGCTCGGACTTGTATTCCCGAAACCGGGACAGCGCGCAGGGGCTCAGTCTCCTTTCCTGAAAATGGGAGAGGCAGCAGGGTCAGTTTTTATTCCTGAGACTGGGAAGTAGAGCAGGAGGTCAGTTTGGTATTCCCCAAAGTAGGAGAGGGAGCAGGACATCAATACGGTATTCCTAAGACTGGGACAGGGAGCAGGGTGAGTCTGAGGTCAGACAGGGAGCAGGGTCAGTCTCCCCGCAGTGGGACTGAAGTGAGCCTGTTCCCCATCTCTCCCCAGTGGGACTGACAGTGAGACTGTTCCCCGTCTCCCTCCAGTGGGACTGACAGTGATCCTGTTCCCCGTGTCCCCGCAGTGGGACTGACAGTGAGCCTGTTCCCCATCTCTGCCCAGTGGGACTGACAGTGAGACTGTTCCCTGTCTCCCTCCAGTGGGACTGACAGTGATCCTGTTCCCCGTGTCCCCGCAGTGGGACTGACAGTGAGCCTGTTCCCTGTCTCCCCACAGTGGGACTGACAGTGAGCCTGTTCCCCGTCTCCCCCCAGTGGGACTGACAGTGAGACTGTTCTCCGTCTCCCTCCAGTGGGACTGACAGTGATCCTGTTCCCCGTGTCCCCGCAGTGGGACTGACAGTGAGACTGGTCCCTCTCTCCCCACAGTGGGACTGACAGTGAGCCTGTTCCCCGTCTCCCCGCAGTGGGACTGACAGTGAGCCTGTTCCCCGTCTCCCCGCAGTGGGACTGAAGTGAGACTGTTCCCCGTCTCCCCCCAGTGGGACTGACAGTGAGCCTGTTCCCCGTCTCCCCGCAGTGGGACTGACAGTGAGACTGTTCCCTGTCTCCCCGCAGTGGGACTGACGGTGAGCCTGTTCCCCGTCTCCCCGCAGTGGGACTGACGGTGAGCCTGTTCCCCGTCTCCCCCCAGTGGGACTGACAGTGAGCCTGTTCCCCGTCTCCCCGCAGTGGGACTGACAGTGAGACTGTTCCCTGTCTCCCCGCAGTGGGACTGACAGTGAGACTGTTCCCCCTCTCTCCACAGGAATGAGGTACAAACGCAGAGGGGTCGACAGTGACGGGAACGTTGCAAACTACGTGGAGACGGAGCAACTCATCTACAGCGGCGATGACATCCTGTCGTTTGTTCAGGTCCGTGGATCTGTCCCGGTGTTTTGGAGCCAACAGGGTTATCGCTACAAGCCTCGGCCTAAACTCTACAGGAGTGAGTCTCGGTGGTGCGGGAGGTGGGGTTGGGGGTGGAGGGATGAGCCAAGCTGGTGTCCCGGAGGTGGGTCCAGGTGGGAGAGGGCATGAGGGGAGTGGGCAGGAGGGCCGGACATGGAGCGAGAATCCCAGGAACTACACCAATCATCTGGGAGCTGGGTGTGTCCCACCTCCCTGGGTGGTCCTGGGCCACCGGAGATCGTAAAGGGGGCTCGGCAGGGCGAGGGTGGTATGTCGCTCAGGCACGAGGCCGTGCAAGCGTTGGCAGCTGGTGCCCGGTTTTGCACGGTGGGTCCAGGTGTCATGGCCGACATGGGCCACCATCTTGGACGATGCTGATGTTCCCTATTGGCACACGCAACCCCAGCCTGTAAAAAGGGGATGCCCTTCCCTGTTTCTCGGCTGCCAACGAGTGTCAGCTCGCCAACTCCATGTCTCCTTTCTCGAGCAGGCGATCGGGAAAACAGAGTCGCCTTCCAGGCCCACTTTGAGGAGCAGCTCAGGATTTACAACAAACAGGTTGGTTTCTTCACCGCCTCGGTCCATTCGCCGTCCCACCCTTTCCACAGAGGAATGGTACACTCTGGCTTCAATCTGGACATTACGGCAGGGACGTACCAACTGTGAGTTGGGGCATGTTGGGGTTTAGTCGTATTCTTCAAAGGACGGCCTTGGTATTGTTCACCCAGTCACCAAATGGGGCAACGCTCCCTCAGCACTGACCCTCCGACAGTGCGGCGCTCCCTCAGCAC